ATAAGTTGTACGCATCTCTCAATAGCGTAGATTTCTGCCTGTAGGATACTAGGGTAAGTGCACATTGGTTCGGAGTAATTAGCTCTCGACCCAAACACTCCGATCCCTGTTCCCGTATTGGTTTTGGAAGCATCAGTATTCCAAGTTATGATATGGTCTTTTAACTGCTGGGCAAGCGTTTCGCTCTTCCAATCCTTCTTATTGCTCAATACTACATTGACATGTTTGTCAAAGTTGTACGTTCTTGGCATATCGTCCACTGGGAGTTGCAGGAGTGGTATTTCCTTTTTGAGGGTGTTCCAAACCCCTGATCTGACAATTCTCCCAGTACTAATTCCGTTAGTGACCATTCTAATCATTGTAAATTAACGATAAAGAATTATACTATATCCGTATTTTAGCACATTTTTAGACAACTTCTTTATTTTTAAGATTTTGAAGGACAAACATCAACAAAATATTCCTTATGATTGGACTAAATTTTTTCGAAAATAAAGATATAATTTAAAATTCCGTTACAATACGGAAATGGATTGAAGTTTTGTGATTACAGTGATATATAATTTATATGGTTTTGTAACAAATTGCTGGCTATTTTATGGCAAATGCTGAAGCTCTGCAAACCTTAATAAAAGCACGTGTGTTTGGAATTTTAGGTGTGGTTCAACACGACATAAAATTTGAATTATTGTTATTACATTGATTTGTAAATAAAATTTTTGTCGACTGGATAGTCAGTTGCCGGTCGCGGCTAGACACCTTTTCTTCCTTCTGTTAAAAGCTTAAGCTATAATATCTATTTATATCCTGAAATAAATGGATTCAATAAGAACAACATTATTAAAAATATTATTTAAAAAACATAAAAAAGATTACTTGAATTATAATTTTAAATATTTCCGTGTAAGTGATAATACTATTTTCCAATTCAAAAAAGAGTATCTCATTTCTATATTTTAAGTTATGGTGACTTCAAGTCTAATCTATCTTAAGTTTTACAAAACTAAAATTGACACTGAATAAAAAGCGGAAGAAAGAGTCCTAAAAGTCCATTAATAATGTAAAAGTATTCATCTATCTTTGACAGAATCTTATTTGTTCTAGTCAGTTTCTGGCTGGTCATTTACGTCAGAAGTTTCTTATTGCAGAAGAGCATTTCCCTTATTTTTATCTACATCTTTATTTAAATGCCATTTATTTTTTTAATTTACAATGTTATATTTATGTACAATTAAATGAATATAGAGTGTACCAAATTCCAGAATCATCACTGGGATCTCTAAAACCATAGAGATAACATGGTCAAATTATGACAAACTTTGAAGTTAAGAAGTTAAGAAATATCTACAGGGAGGAAAAAAGTTCCTATAAACATGAGTATGGAAATGCATAGATTTTTTTCATTTTTGCCTACAGCAATTTTAAATAAAAAATGCATTTTTTTTAAATTGCTGTATGTTGGACTACTAGTAATAATAACTAATAGTAATAATATTTAATAATAAATTACGTAAAATATATAATTTACTATTTTTATTTTAATTTTATTAATTGTGATTAATAAAATTGCGTTTCTCATCAAGGAGGCAGATTTCGCCAACATATCAAGAGATAACATTTAATTGGCATTAAAGGGACTACACAATTCTGATATCAAAAGAAAAAAGTCAGTGACGCACATGTTTTTTTTTTGAAAATTATTCCAGTGATAACCCATATTCACGTCCCTAATGAATTAATCAGCACTATATGTAGCACTTATAGTAACTTTTACCCTCAAAATTGAATTCGAATCACCAAAAGTACTTGGAAGAAAATTATAATAAATATTGAGATTTTAACACCCTGTAAAAATAAGTCTTATTTTTAGGCGAGGAATCTCCCCACCAGTAACTTATTGAAAATATGAAAAATAAGTCTCGTAGAGTTTTTTACGTAGAATTCAGTGGCGTAACTATTTTTTTAGAGAGTAATATAATATTTTATGTTTTTGAGCCATTATTTCACGATAAAATATATATAAAATTGTGAAAGGTATCATCTATAATTTGAAGTTGAACTTTAACCTTCAATAACTCTCAAACGAGTCGATTAAATAAAAATTCATATCGGACCTTTTTAGAAGACCGTTCAATTTCCTACAAATTACGGAAATTTTATGACGAATGAAATGCCGTTTTGCAAATTGAAAATATCCGAAAATTTTAGGGCTAGTTTTTTTTAAGGGCCAAATACATTTTTATTTAGGCGGTAGCTATTAATATGGTAATTGCAATTTCAGTATAACCTGTTACATTAAATTTACTCATTTTGGGGACAAAATTCCGAAAATAATTCGCTCTAAAATATTACGGATCTAATTAATAAACGCCTACATGCGACGTAAATGTGGTCACTCAAAAAACGATTTTCCTACTATCTCGATTACCGGATTTAATGTTTGACATTGTCTGAATCATTTAATTTATTACAGATATTGTTATTTGAAATTTTTCAATACATAAGTTAAAATACAAAAACTAAAATGTAATTATGGTATTTTTTATGTACAGGGTGGCCCATCGAAAACGTTCCGCAAGGCATAACGGCCAGGGTAATTTTTTTTTTCAGAAAATTCAAAAACACGTCAATTTTGTTTGTGATGGGGACAACTTTTGCCCCAAAAATGATTGCAAAATCTTCAACCCTCTAAACGGGGGTGTCATCCCCCAATTTTTTTCAAATGCGAAGGGGAGTCAAGTGGTACCGCAATGAAAAGGGCTTTCTATTCTCTATACTTTCTGGCTTCGTTTTTGAAAATCGGTCGAGTCATTGAGAAAATATGAAGGATTGAAATTTGAAAAGTTTATTAAAGCTATTATTATTATTTATTAGCTTATTTATTAAATTATTTTATTTAACTCATTAATTTTCATTGAAAAAGAATTTTTGTAATTCGCCACTATATTAGTTAAAAACTAAGAAACTCATATCAAATTTAAGTTTTGCGATTTTGACTTATACTTTTTACAAAATCTGAACACATTTTAAAAGAAAAAAAGTTTTTGATAATATTTGTTTAGATTGACTACAAGTTGTATAACATAAATTTCTACGACCGGTCTACCTAGTGGTCTGCAGCATCGCCTTGTGGTGCAAACGTGGGCCTGTTAATCTGTGACGTGACGCACAACAGCCAAGAAAAACAGAAGCGTGGCTAAGAATTTAGTAATTTAAAAAAAAGTCTTTTAGATACAGTAGTAGGTATTAAAAAGTTTTGTGTTTAAATGGGGTTTGCCTTTAACAGGTAAAAAGTTATATCGTAAAGTGTAACTTTCCGTAAGAATTCTTTATCTGTCATTGATCATGATCTGTCATCATGTTAACCTGATGTTTTGTATGTTATTTTGTTTTTTTCGAGGTTTTTTTGCTTGCTTGTTTTACGGATAGGTGCGATCGCATAATTATTATTGATAATGTTATATTTAATGTTAACATTACTACTTTTTCAGTGAATCTTTAAATCTGTTGTTTTTTGTTAAGTTCGTTATTTAAACATATGTATGTAATACACTCATATTAACACTAATCATATTTTTACGTTTTTATTCATCATTTTCAATGCCTCCCCGGTTGCAACTTTGTAAAGGACTGTGAATTTTTTCTTGTTATTTCTAGATGTTTACGCACTTTTTCACTTGGCACAAGGTTGAAAGATCAGATGCGGTAATTGCTAGATAGCTGTTCTGTGACTTATGCGTTAAAGTTCTTCTCTGTTAAATTTTTTAACAATTATTATGGTATACTCAATTGCAGAAAAAGTGGAAATAATGGAACTTTATTTTAAAAAATAATGAATGTGGCAATCGGGTTGCAGATATTCAATGAACGCCATCCTGACAACCACCTTTATGGTAAAATTGTTCGCGAGTTAATAGCAAAATTTCGCGAAACTGGTTCCGTTATGAATAAAAAGAGGCAGAGGGAAAATCCTGTAGTAAATGAAGCTATGGAGGTATTCGTATTGGGCCAAGTTGCCATGGATAGTACGCTGAGTACAAGAAAATTAGCCAATGAGACCGGCGTGAATCGTACAAGTGTCCAAAGGATATTAAAAAAAGCAAGTTCCACCCGTACAAAATTCAGTTGGTACAAGAACTCAACGAAGACGATTTTGATCGTCGCTTGCATTTTTGTGAAACTATGAGTGAACGAGTGGCAAATGATAATAATTTCCAATTTAATGTGTGTTTTTTGGATGAGTGTACTTTCTCTTTGAACGGTGTAGTTAATCGGCACAACTATCGGTACTGGGCTGAAGACAACCCCAAGGTGCACATGCAAAACCCTCAGAAATTGAACGTGTGGGCTGGTATTTTTGAAAATTCTATTGTGGGTCAGTTTAACGATATTGGGAAGAACTTCAACGCACAAGTCAAGGTTGAAGATTTCGCAATCATTTTTGGGATAAAAGTTGTCCCCCTCATAAACAAAATTGACGTGTTTTTGGATTTTTTGAAAAAAAGAATACCCTAGCCGTTATGCCTTGCGGAACGTTTTCGATGGGCCACCCTGTATAAGATCTGTAAGTACACTCACTGGCACGAAAAACGGGCACCTTAAAATTTTCATGTATTTTTAAGTTTTATACAGGGTATTTCAAAAAACGTGTGCCATCTCTCCTGCCATCTCTCCGGGGATTCCTCACGTAAAAATAAGATTTATTTTTTATATCAACATAGGTCCGATTCTGCTTTGTTTTTTAGCTATAGGGTGTCATAGTCTTAGCCAAGTGAGACTATGATGAGTTATAACTTGTTATAACTCAAGGAAGGGGTACGCACAACAGATGGACACAAGATAGACACTGATTAACCCCTCTTCTAAACTTTCTACGTTCTACATGTTACTGCTTCCTACGACTTTCAACTTGAATGTTACATCATCTTTTCACTATCACTTTCTAGTATTATTTTTAATGTTTAAATTTCGTTTTTATTTAAAATTCATTATTGTTTCAGTTGCTGACCAATCCAGAGTGGTCTGTTACTGGGGAACATGGGCCATCTACCGTCCAGGAATAGGAAGTTACAGTCTAAACGACATTCCAGTGGATTTATGTACGCACGTCATATACTCATTTATTGGAGTTAATAATAACTCATGGGACGTACTCCTCATAGATCCTGAGGTAAGTTTTTTTTTATTTTGCTGACTCAGCTATGGGGAAATTAAAATAACTTTGGTTGCACATCATAAAGCTGTGCACACACTTGTGCGATCACGGCCGCGATCACGATCTCCACGCGGCCGCGGCCAGCAGTTGCTGAAGAATACATATGAGCCGTTTCACATTGGCGCGATCGAGTTTTGGAGACGAAACGGCCTGGCGACGTTCTATTCTGCGGTGGCGATCAAATTCAACTTGTCGAGTTTGATCGCGTGATCGCGACCCAACTGATAGGAATTTTCCTTAATTTTGTGTGTTTTTTCTTATTGCAATTTAGAAATGGAGTTAACAGAGCAGCTAATTAAGGCTGTAAAAATACACAAAGTTCTATATGATTTATCCGATCGAAGTTACAAAAATAATAGAATTAAAAATAAAAAGTTTGAGACAAAATTGGAATTACAATTGGATTGGATTGTATATATGTATACATTTTTATTGTTTAAGTTTAAATATTGTACGTAAATATTTAAAAATGTTATACATAATTCACATTTTTAATTTGTACTTATGTATACCTACAAGATGGCGCACTACATATAGGTACGGCAGTGAACGTGAACGCGTTGGTGTGTGCTAGAATGATCGCTTATGTTATCGCTGCCCTGATCGTGATCGTGATCGTGATCACGGCCGTGATCGCGGCCGTGATCGCACCAGTGTGCGTGTAGCTTAATACGACCACCAGCAAACTCCATAAGACGACGCATTGTGTCATTGATGACTTGCAACGAAAGTTGTTTTAATTTCCCTTAAATACGTATGGCCTAAAGGCGCGTTCTCACGATTCGTCTACTCGACAAATATTTGTAATTGGTATACAGGGTATACACGGTGCCTCGGGCATCTATACAGAAACGCGTGAGAACGCGCTATAACACTGAAGTGACAGTTTAATTTGTCAGCCTTGTGGTACAGATGACTGATACGACGAATGATGTAGAACAGGGGCGGGAAAGTGAAATAGCAAAAGCAATTCCACCGTTTCCACGGAAATCTCAAATAAAATAGTTCCAGCCCTAGCCACTAGGTGGTAGTGCAATTCATTTTTAGGTTAAGAAGTTGCTACTAGTTATTGCCAGATGGCGTTAAATCAGAATTTTTTTGTAGTTTCCATAGTTTCCAACGGCCATTGTCATATTATTGTCAAATTCTCAAAAAATATTGTCGTTGTCATAGCGCCAATCATAATACACAAAACATCCCCCTTTAGAACTTCGTCTGTCATGTTAAGAAATGAAAGTAAATAATAAAGCGCCTCTCGTGTTTGTTCGCACTCAAAAAATTTCAATTATGCCTGTATATATTTTTAATATATTTTTTAAATTTACATTTTTTTAATTGTAAAGTAATATATTACATTTAAATGGAATATATTACATAACAATTATGTCAATTACAGGATTACAAGCTTGTTTTGTAACATATTTTTAAATAAAACGAATTATAAAATTTCAATATATGTATATTTGTCGTAGGTATGAAAAAAGTAAAATATAAAATGGACAAACGCTTACTTACATTGCAATAAAACTTCCACTTTTAGTTTTGCAATCCAAACGCAATATTTCTATTTCACAAATAAAAATATCCGACAACACTAAAATCACTGAAATTTCCGCGTCTGACAACGAAAACTGAAAAATATAGCGGCACTTTTTGTTTTGAACCTGCATATCAACATTACGCTGTACTATTATGTGTTTGTTGTTGAAATAATATAAAATATCTAATTATAACTTGTAAATTTTAATATTTTAACATGATTTTAACTACTTTTGACAATAACTAACTTTTTGTTATCAAGATGACATTTTAGACGGCAACTGACATATATGTCATAATATTTGAATCTTAAATATGTATGTAATATAATTTAAATGACTATAATGCAACTTTATACTAAGAAAACATTTATACATTCACAAAAACAACAAAAAAGTGTAATAATATAGTTTGAAAACAACGAATATTTAATTAAAATTGAAAAAGTTAAGCGCGACCCCTTGTGTCAAAAGTAGATGATTAAATTTTTGCAATTTTTACACCATTTGATGACCGGTGGCGCCTCTAGTGTTTGTTCGGGCAGTTGGGCTTTTACTCCCGCTTATGGCCATTAAAGAAAAAGTTCTAAAGGGGGATGTTTTGTGTCATAATATTATCAAATAAATGATTATCAAAATGTTTTTCAAACTATAATTTGTTATATGTGTTTTAATTAGACAATTCCTTTTGTTTGTGGCCCTAAAAATATAATGTAAGTCTTTTATTTTTGCCATCATTTAAGTACCTACTTATATTTACTCCGTTTACAAAACTTTGGGCGTGTTACGTTGGTCTTGTTTTATTATAATAAACGATGTTTAAATATTTGACTTATAAATAAAAACTTTGAATAATAAATTATATTTCACATGTTTGGCTTTAATTTTATTTAATAATTGGATAAATTATACTGTTAAATTTTATTTTTTACACATCACAACGATACTTGTTATTAGTATTGTTGAATTTGTGTAAAAAATAAGATTTAATAATCAAATTTAATTATTTTAGAGTAAAATTCAATAAATACGCTCAAAAAGCCCGCGCTTCGATCCATTTAAAACAAGCCCTACTCAATAGATGGCGCCACTTCTGTAGGACCATTTTTCAGTATGGCAGAGTTCATTCTTTTTCTAGCTAGGTATAGTCTTTGATGTAGAATGATTGGAATCAATCGATTTGACAGTTGTTTTTTATACCGGGTGCGTCATAAAAGTGTCTCACCCCTATAACTTTTTATTTTTTTTCAGATATAAAAACGAGATTTGCTAAGTTAGTATATGACATAAATTAGGACTGATTGACGTATTCAATTGTTTTCGGTCACTTTTGATTTGTAAATGGCACCCTCGATATTATTTTGCTTTATTTGATAGAAAATGATACTCTGAATAGAATGACATATTTATCATATGTCAACTTTTGACATTTTTGGAATATGGTTTATTTGAAATTGTAACATGCGGTTCATAACGACAATTTGACTCCAAACACCAAGTGTGTGCTACCAAATTATTCGTAAAGAATACTTTTTCCAAATATCCTATAATGAGCCACCCTCGTTCCATTTGAAAAAATTGAGATATGATTAAAAATACGATTTAGGCATCTTTTAACCGGCCAGGACAAGGCACGAAAAACATTAGATGATCTAATCTATTTTCCATGGCTCCTTAACTAAAAATTGTGTTTTAACACAGGCCTGGCACGCTAGAATAAAACTTAAAATACGATTTTGTTTTAAGCGAAAATGTTGACATATCATATGTCATTTCATTCTTGTGCTGAGAAAAATATTCCGAGGGTGCCGTTTAAAAATCAAAAGTTGTACTCATTTCCGGTGGAACAGGAAGTGACCAAAAACAATTGAATGAATACGTCAGTCAATCCTAATTTATGGCATATACTAACATACTAATTGCCGTTTTTTATCTGAAAAAATAAAAAAGTTATAGGGGGTGAGCCACTTTTGAGACGCACCCGCTATAAGTAAATACATTTTTAAGAAAACTGTATATAAAAAACCGTGTATAGCCTTCATATATTTGAAAAAGCAATTACGTTCTGATTTTTTCCAATTTCTTCATTTACACTCAGTGTAAATATAGTACAAATCCTTTTTTTTTGAGATCCTTAAAAATTTTATTAACGATTTTTTTTCGATCTTGAGCAAATTACATCGAGTCGCGTAGCAACGAGAGATAAATTTCCAAAGAAAATTTGTGGAAATGAAGTATTTTCGCTTATTAATACAAGCACGTGGAGGATTTATTCTATAGGAAATTCACACCAACTTAAGGGTATACCTATACTGTGTTTTTTTATACAAAAAATATCGTCTTTGATTATGTTTATTTAAGACTCTAATTTAAAGCATGTATAACAAAGAAAAATTGCCTGGCTCAAGTAAAATACTGTGCCACGTTCAATATTAATAAAATATAACAAAATACAGGGTGGTCCGAATTATATTCGTCTTATCACAAAAACTGTTTTAGCAAATGTTTGTGGCGTTATTTTACAAAAAAAAATGTGGCCATTATGTGGAATCATTGATTTTTAGTCTTGACAAATTATCTACTATTAGTGAAAATATGAATAAGTGTGTGAAAATATGAAAATATTTAGGCTAAGAAATGTTTTCCCGGTTTTTTTATTATCATAAAATATGACAATATTATTAATAATGCAAAAATTGTATTAGACTTTTTGAAGAGGCGTTAAAGTTGTACTGAGGTCTAGAATTTCTTTTTATTTGGAACTATAAGTTATTTGCAAAAATCTACCTTCAAACTACTTCCATCTCTTGACAACCCAAGCAGCATTTGGACGTCGGGACAACGTTGTGTCACGCGACCAAACGTCGGGGTGCAACGTCGACACAACCTCGTGCCAACCCTAGTCTGCACTAGTTTGGAGAATAATTTTTGGGTCGAAACGACGTTGGATACCGACGTTGGCTAGAAGCCTAATTTAGTACAACCTGCAACGTTGTTTAAAATCCTAATTCACAGAAATACAAAACTAATATGGCGTCTAAGTCGCGTTTTATCCTAAATTGGGATAATTATAGTAAAAATATTATTTTTATGATTTAGTTAGAGACATATGTCAGATGGCAGTGAAGGAAAACAAAACAAAAGTATTTAAGTGTGGGGGATGTTTGAAGATCATAGTTATTGAAACACTTTAACCGACTCTGTAACTCGTTACCCAAGGCAAAAAAGTTAAACGCAAAGAACTTTATTGATAAATGTATTGTTTCTACTTTGAAAAATACTAATGGGCCTTAAAATTAAAGAAGTTTTAAAAATTTTCTTGAATTTTTTTTTTAGTAAAATGAGAATAATTTATCCGCAGTCGAAAAAATTGTTTCCGCGTGTTTTTTCGGGTCAAATATTTCAAGTTAATGTATT